TGAGAGTGTCAAACGATTGTTAAAAATGTTGATTTTCAAAAGAGAAAGAAGATATATATTATTTCAATCAGCTCATTAAAAACGAGATAGTAAGATGAAAATTTGGAATACACGAATTTATTCAAAATTTTATATTTGAATTCTCTATAAGTACAAATTTTCTTTTTGAAAGTGTTATAATACAATTACTTAAATTATAAGAAATATAAATTTCTACACATAAAAGTAAAAAATTAAAAGTCACATTATTCATGAATTGTATGAAAAAACACACAAAAATGATATAGGATCTATATAGTATATCACATGTAAATGTGTATGTTTAACACTATGATATTTGATAAATCAAATAATTTAACCCAAAAAAATATAGGAAAAACAAAATTTTAAAATTTGAGAAAAAATAAAGATTTTACATGAATTGTTTTAACAATATCATTATGTGACACTCATTATTTCAACAACATTATTTTAACAATATGAAAATAAACAAATATATATATTTGTATAGTTGAAGAAAATAACAAAAACATAAAAATCAATAATTAAATCAAAATTTTATCATTAAATTTAATAAAACTGTAAAAAACAAATTCGCGCATCGCGCGAATTATATTTTATTTATAAGTAATAGATAATCAATATCTTAATAATTTCTTATTTTCGTTTAAGCAAAATGAAAAGAGATGTTGTTGATCTGAAATTATGAAAACAACATAAATTTGGGCAGAGAGGACTAAAACCTTGTAAAGCCGCCACACATATAATCATCAGTTAGTTTAAACATGACAGATTACGGACCACATGTCCAAAAAAATTAGGAAACCAATTTATGATGAAATGACAACAAACCAACTCTTTTTTGGTGCGGAGTAGGATGTGTTCTTTGCAAAAAACTTAGACTAAAAGTCAATACATAATCAAATTTTTAGAACCAACGAACACTTTTCGTGTGATCAACATTTTGATCAACACTACGAGCATGTGACTTGTTAATATTTTAATTANCAGGTTTGAAAGATTCATCTGGACATTCAAACCTCTCAAAAGTTGCATTAACGGCCCAAACCTAATTAGGCAGATGATTTTATTCCTCCTCATAAGCATATCATTATTGTTGTATACATGCATCTGGTACCATCTCCAAGAAAATAACGACGAAATCAATGCATAATTGTTTTTGGGGGTAAAATGAGCCATAGATCGATTCTCCACTAATCGAAACAAATTGAGCAATATTTCAGCATTTTTTTAGCAAAAATAAAACATATATATTTCAACATTAAATTTAGCTAAAATGTTTTATAACTAAAACAATATTTCAATTGTTTTCCACATTGAAAAATATCTTGGTTTTGGATGAATGGTATGATCTTTTCATACAGAGAAATAGATCAGTTATCAATAACAAACTCAAGTGGTTGAACTTGAAAATTATCAGTTAACAAATGCAACCTACAAGCCTCGGTTGTAGTCGGATCTTTGGTTTTTCCATGAAATAACTGGCCGATCAGCTTTTAGTTCCATGCCTAGTAAATGAATGTCATTAGGATGATCAAAGCTCTGCCTACAAGTTATGTTGGCGGCATCTTTCAAAATTAAGTTGCCATTGTCTGATAGTCATTGTCTAATAGCTCTGCTACCACCAACTTCAATCGACTATCATTGGTAAAATTCGCTGACCAAATTGGTAGACTACCTTCGTCTAACATAACCAAGTTGTTTTCTTTCCACTTGAGGGTTCTTTTCTTACCGAAGAGAGAAGCGTCTTGGTTGACTACCCACACATACGATGGTGGTTGTTGTCGGAGGTACCACATACCTAAATACCACCGATTGACCAATCTAAAAAATCCTAGCACAAATTCTTTGGAAAAAATAGTGTTTTGTTTTGAAATGGTTTGGGATTCTGTTCTAGACAATGTGTTTCCATCAAAACACAATCCATGAAAGATATAAAAAAAAGTAAGAAAATGAAAATTATGGAAGACATATTGGGCTATATATGTTTAGGTTGTATAGTTATATTGCATGGGTTTTAAGTTAAGAGGGTGAATTAGGTTAAGCGGTAAGCCGTCTGATTACCTTGTATAAATACATTGCTTTGTAAGATAAAACATTCAAGTCAATAGAACATCAATTTCTACA